CGAGCCGAGCCGTCACTCGCACTGCTGGCTCGCTTGCTCCGCTCCTGCCATTACAAGGGGGGGCGGGGGAGGATGGGAATGCGAAGGGCTGGGCGCAGGCGAGCGGCTATCTCGCGCCCAGGAACGGCCAAGGCCGAACCAGCGCGCACAAGGGAGGGTCCAAGGCTGAAGGGGGAGGGAAATGCGGGGAGGGAGAACTAAGTTCTGGCGCCCGCAGGACTCAGTTCCAGCAATGCTTTAGAGCCATTCGCTACTTTCCAATAAATGAACTTTCCTTTGAACCTGCCTTGGTTTCAGTGAGGGTTGCTTTCAGCGGGAACCGAGTACCAGTTCTTACAATTGAAAAAGCTAAATTTCAGTAAGAGCAGTAGTTCTCATGCTGGCTGGGGAATTCTGGGAGTTGAAGTCCACATATCTTCAAATTGGTAGGGTTGCAAAACATCACACCAGGGACTTCTCATGAACTGAGTGATCAATGAATTGGTGTTGGGGGCCTCGGGGAGCACAGCGCATCCCTGCTCTTCATTCAAACAGCCTGGCCTAGAAGATGACGCATCGCATCGCATCGCTTTTGAAGCTGGCTGGATAAGATGCCTTAATAAGAGGCAGCTGCTTTAATGAACAGCAGAGAAATGCGGGGCTCATATCCACGTGAGGTTCAGAGGGCTTTTTTCAAATAATTTTCAAAGTGTGCAAAGCTAAGTTCTAGCCCCTTGATTACCCTCCCTCACCCTGCTTCAATTTCTCAGAATCCAATTTATCTATGCAGGATCCAGAGCCAGATCCAAAATAAAGTGGAAGTACAGGTATGCGCCATTGGGAACTTATATTTCTGCTGAGGCAGCTGTGAGACTAGGCTGAAGCTGCCATAACCTAAAGATGAAGCAGGCAGAGAGGACAAAAGATGAGATTCCTTCAGGGAGGTAGTGTCAAAACCTGCATCAACCAAATGTCAATTTAAAAAGCTATAGCAGTCAATGGGTGTTTGCTTGATTGGATTCTGCCATTTGTGACTAGGGAGGGGGGATGGTAGTTAATGGTTGTAATTGGGATAGTGCTTAGGACAGAGAGGTACTTAGCCTTATATGGGCAATTGCAGGCAATTGATTGCAGGCAAGGCAGATGGGGGTCCATGGCCAGGAAGGAGCTATGTTATGAGTGGGAGGAAGAAACGAGGCCACCCCCAGGTGATGAAGAATTGTGGCGCCAAGGCAACAGGGGAGAGGAATAAATAGAGGGAAATTTTCCAAAGCTTTAGTTTTAGCAATGTTTTGTTTCAAGCTACATGTACCACAAAATAAAGCATTTATCTGAACCAGGCCTGGTTTCATGAGAATTCTTCTGAATTGGGATTTGGACATTGTGGACTTGACAGGTAGATAAGAAGTCGTTAAGGAAAAAACAAAGGACCTGAACCAGAAAAAGGAAGTTGGGCCTGAGCACATGGAAGCCCTCACCCCAATCCCATCCACTTGCAAATCAACCGAGCAAGGACTTTTGCAGATAAAAGGGGTCCCAAAGCCCGCCCACTCTGAGTCGTCTAAGTCACCTTTGGATCCAGACCTGGCAGCTTCTGTCCCTCTAGCTAGTGCCTGGCAGCCTAGTTGGGAAGGACGTGGGTGTGGATGAGAAAGAGCAAATGCACCTTGCAACCAGTAAAGTTTTGCTGTTACTTTAAATTCACTGGGTCTTCGTG